TTATGTTTTTGTCAAAATATTAAAATTACCAAAAATATTTAAACTTTCTTTACTGTGAAAACGTCTTTAGTTTAAATAATTGTCTTTTTAAAATAGAAAGTTTTCCAAAAAGTGCATATTGCATATCTTCATTGTGGATTCGATATTCGGGTCTTAATCAAAAAGTCCTATATTACTTGATAACGATACGTATACTTGCGTAGTATTCCACTATATATAAATTAAAAGTTAAATTCTTATTTTTCCTCAAGATCAAGTTTTTGGTGTTGTTGCAAAATAAGAAAATATAAGTGAAAAATATGATCAGAATTATTGTTATACTATTGCATATAAGCAGTTTCGGGATCACCCCCTTTCACCTACCATTTTCATAATGGCTTTTGATTATTTCTCCAGGCTTATCAACAATTTGTATGAAACTCATACGTACCTGCACTATAATCATAAATCTATGATTCAGGTAAGCCACTTAACATATGCTGATGAAGCAATTATTTTTTCCAATGCCTCCAAACTTTCTATCAAGGTTTTAATGAAATCCCTTAATCTTTTTGAGTAAACTTCTGGGCTTCTGTTTAATAAATCTCAATGTCAGTTATACTTTGGGAAATATGTTAGCACTAATCATTCCAACTGGACCACCTCCTATACTGGTTACAATATGGCACCTCTCCCTCTTAAGTGCATTGGTGTTAACCTTTTTAGAGGTAGAAGGAAACAAACTCAACTTGATTTTGTGGTTGAGAAAATCAAAAATAGAATCATTGAGCGGAGAAATGTTTTTCTTTCCTTTGGGGGAAGGCTTACTCTTTTGAAAAGTATTCTTCAAAGCATTCCTCTATATGCCATGAAAGTTCTTAACTTAAAGAAGAGCACTCAAAAATCTCTTGAGCATATTTTTAGTAAATTCTTGTGGTTTGGGCCTGATAAAACTAAGCCATGGTTGTCTTGGCATAAAATTTGTAAACCTCTATCAGCTGGGGGTTTGGGGTTTAGAAATCTGTATCAAATTGCTGAGATCAATATGTGTAAGCTGTGGTATAAATTTAGGGCTGGCTCTTCCCCTTGGGCTCAATTTATTCTCCCCAAATATTGCTCCCATGTGCATCCTGCTTTGGTTAATTGGAAGGTAGGGGATTCTAAAATTTGGAAATATATTATTAGGGCCAGATCCCTTTCTAATTGTTTCATTTATTGGGATATTGGTGAGGTGAAGGTCTTTTTTTGGCATGAATAGTGGGGTCCCTCTATTTTTCAGAATGTTGCATCTCCTCTTAATGACAATCTATTAGTCTCTGATTTTTGGATTAATGGCAATTGAGACATTGACAAGCTTAAACTTTTGGGGGGAGAAGAGGCTGCTATTATTGTTACAAATCCCATTCTTCCAAATAAGCCTGATAGGCCCATTTGGAAGTTTACCTCTACTGCCTCCATTTCAAAATTGTTGTATCACAATATGCATACCTTTCAAGATTGGAGATGGGGTTTACATATTTGGAATTCTTACCCCTCTCCCTCTATCTCCTTTTTTCTATGGAGGTTTTTTCAATCCTTACTCCCCCTTAATGATATCTTAAAGATTAAAGGTTTAAGATTGGCCTCCAAGTGTTTCTTATGCAATTGTGATGAGGAAACTTACACACATCTATTTTTCTCTTGCTCTTTGGCACATGCTGTTTGGAATATGGTTGGCCAGTTCTTTAACATTCACTGGCCTTTGTCTTCTCGTCTGGAAGACTTTTTGGATGCATGGAAATTTTGTCAGAGATATGATAAAAAGCTTGCCTACTTTTCTTTAATTGTTCTATGGTTTTTATGGACTGTCAGGAATAGTTACAAGCATAACAGCTCCCCTCATGCTCCTCCTCTCACTGTTTCTCATATTTTATCTTTCTATTTTGAAACTATCAAGTTCTTGGCTAAAAAAAAGTGCAGTATCACTCAGGGTGGACGACCTCTTCTTGTGAGATGGTAACCCCCTCCTCACACTTGGATCAAGGCTGGGGGGGGTTTCAGAAGCAATAATGGGAGACTGTTATGTTTCTTTGCAACCACTGTTAACACTGATGATCCCACGGAACTGAATGCTGGGAAGCTCTTTTTGCTATTCAAATTGCTATTATATTTAAAATTCCTAAGCTTGTTATTGAAACCAACTCTAAGATCGTGTATGACATGCTTAGAAAGGACAGTACACCATTTTGGAACTTATTTCATATATGCAATCGTATTTTGCACCTTATAACCTCTAATCAGATTCATGTGCTTTTCTCTTTTATTCACAGAGAAGGCAATGCCCCTGTTGACTGGTTAGCAAAAAAAGGTAGTGATGGGATTCTTATTGGTTTAGACACTCCCTTGCCTCTAAAGAGGCTCTTATTTGGAGATAACCTCAATCTTCCTTATATCAGATGTTGATGTTGCACTGTTTTTTCTGTTTCTTTTATGTGCTGGCCTCCTTACTGTTTCTCTGATGATTTCACTTTGTAACCAGTTGTTTTCATTCCTATACTATTTTGCTACTATCACCATTTCTTTTTGGTGCCTTCCTTTGGTTAGGCAACATATGTTTTACATTTTTCTGGATTTTGAGATACCTAGGAAGTGTTGCTGCTCAAGTGTCGGAAGGACATATGCTCTCATTATCAATTCTCGGCTGCCTCCTTTTCTCGGTTACCTACATGCAGGTTGCTTTTGGACTCTACTGAGAGATGAGCTAACTTCTGTTATTTGGCTTCAAGGCTGTGTGCTACGCCCCTCACTGAACTTGTTTTGCTTCTTTTTGGATTTGGTGCTCTTTCTCTTAAAGATATTGTTTCTTTTAGGTTTACATGTGTTTTGGGTATACTTTTCCTTTGGTATACAATTTTTTGGGTATTCATGTACTTTTGAGTTTTTTTTCTTTGTTGTGCCGAGTTGTACTATGGATAGTGAACCCCTAGGCCTTTAATGTACTTTTGCTTTTAGATGGCGATCCACTACCCCTCCTAATACTTGTAACCTTTTTCAATATTAACGCATAAGGAGTCATGAGCTGTTCTTTCATTAAGAAAAAATATTATATCACAAAAAAACTCTCAAAAAATTTAAAATTCTGATTTAATTCAATTTGTATCATCTGAATTTACAGACCGATTCTAATAAAATCTGGCCGTACACAATAAAATGAGGCGATTTGTTACATGCGCGGAGGAAATCCCTCGCAGCCCGGTCTAGGATGGCCTCTCCGTCTTCCTCCGTCAGTTCTACGCCGGCGCCGTCCGCAGCAAAAAAGAGCTTTCTTCGTCGCATTTTACCCGCCCTCCTTGTTGCTAATGTTGCCGTCGGAGGTCTCGCTTTTTTCCTATATGTTGTCCTGATCTGCAGTGAATCAAATGTGAATTATTCACTTTTTTTCTTTCTTTCGATCGCCACAGTTTCCTGTTAGGTCTAATGTTGATTTTTTTTTTTCGTTTTTGTTTTTGAATTTTTTGTTGTTTTTACTCTTCTTTATGAATTTTTTTTTTGTAATCCATTTAAAGTATTCAATTCCTAGTAGGTTTTTGTGCATAGTAATCGGTTCTGAATGAAATTATCCGTGTCAGCTTACAATTTTTTTAATTCGTAATTAATTTGAGTCGAGTTGCAATAAGGATAACTATGAGAGCTGACAACTCTTAAACGTTTTTGCATGCTGTTCTCTCCTTATCATATGGTGCTTCTTTTATTTCGGCTAAGAAAACTATTATTGTTCAAAACTGTTGCAATTACTTTGTTATGGACGTCACAAAACAATGAAATTAACAGCTGCCCATTACTCTTTCGCAGCTAAAGATGGTCACTTTGTTGACGAGCCCTTTTATCAGTATCGACAGTTTAATTGAAAATTGAAATTAGCTTTTATTTCTCGTGCTATTTATTCCTTGGGTATCTCTTGAGAAGGAAACTCATTATAGGTGCTAATGTCTTACATGTAAACACCAAGATAATGAGAATGCAAAGTTTTGGTTGGGTGGTTGACCTTGAACACATATGTTTTTGTTGACTTAATATTTTTGGTTGATCATGAATAGTTGTTACAGGATGAACAACTAAATTTTAGTAGCCCGTTCATGGAACATGACCTTTTCTTTTTTAAATTTACTGATAGTGACTTATTCATGTTTATCATAGGAAATATAATCTCAAACCTAACAATTTTGGCCCATTTCAAGCCATTTAGGCATCCATAGATTTGATGTGCACAACAGAACTTGTCTTTCGATTGATCATGCTTTTTTTAGCTTATTTGGGTTCCGATCAGATTAAAAATAATTAAATTTGGCTTTGGTTCTATCATTTTTAGCTGCCTTAAGCTCTTTAATTCATATAAAGATTTCACTTGATAGGATAGAGATTTTTACAATCCCAAAGGCCACATCGACCATGGTGAAGTTTGACATATGTTGGCCAATCAAAGACTCATAGTGATAGATCAATAACTTCACTTTGTTATTTATCATGTGCGACATGAACATCATGGATGGACCACCACAACAACTTTGGTGATGAGAGGCATGCAGGCCACAAGGTTAAAATCATTGCTAACTCTGAAATGATCTGTGTAAGCATCTTATTATGTTATTTTTCCTCTCTCCGCATCTAACTCAATCCTTGTCTCCTATTCTTAAGCACCAATATGAATTGATGCTTTTTCCACTACAATATCCATTCCCCATCAATGGTCTAGTAGGTGCCATGCTAGATTTTGATGATGCTTCTTTATTCCATAAGCTTTTTATTTAATTATTATCGAAGGGAGACAGCTTGAAGCTTAGAGAGAAAAAAAATTTGTTGTTAAGTGCAAAACTTTTAGCTACCTGTGCATATATCCTTGCAATATGGCATGTAGCTGAACGCTTTTCTGATCAATGGAGAGCTTCTAAGAACATCCGATAGTGGGAATAGAGTTCCCTCAGCATAACTTGATGAAGAAAACTCATACAATTTTGTTGTACTTGATATTTTTGCTAATTGTCTTTTGACAATTCTTAATTCAGATCACAAAAAAATTTATCATGTAAAATATACATATTGACTATCTTAAATATTCATTTATAATTTTACGAAAATATTTAAAGTTATTTAATATTTTGAGCAAAAAATTCCAAAATATTCAATTTGTTTTTTTTTCCCAAGAGATAGAAAGGGAGAAATTAATTATGAGTTATCATGTTGTTTGATCTCCATATCCATGCTTATGAAAGTGTCAATATGGGAAAAAATGTGATTTTACTATAGTTTATTGAATTCATTTTCCTTATATGTCTCTTTTTCTGGAAAAAAAATACAAATGCAGTGCTCCTATTTTTGTAGGATTTAAATTTCTAATACAGAGCTCTACCATTTTTATATTTTAGTCACACTATTTGATGAATCGTGGCTATTGCCATCCTAACTAAAGTTTTAATTACACAATTTGTAATTCAATTTATCATAAATTTGTGAAGAGATTTACATAAAGAGAACTCAAAACTTTCTCATATACATATTTAACACCTACACATCAATATTTAGATAATATATTTCTTTTTTAACGCTGTTAACTGAGCTCTATCATGACTTCATTTCCCCTATACCAGTGTCCTCGATTTCTCGCCCTAGGTAGCTCCATCAATGCTGCTCTAGCGAGCTCCATTGTGACTTTTGTATGCTTCTTCAATCAATTGCGTGTGATGAAGGCAATGAGATTGAAGACTCGCCAAAACAGTAAAGGCTATGGTATTGATGACGTGCAAACACCAGGACATGCTTGACGAGATTTGAACAGCATTTGTGGTTGATGGTGTTTGTTGATATTTAAAATTTTAAGTGTTATGTGTTTATATACTGAATTTTAGGTTTTGAATATATAAATTGAAAATTTTTGAGTGGAATGTGTATAACTTCCCTTGTTTTATGGCGTGGTACATAGTTTTTGTGTATCCATATTTGCCACTACTTATAAGATGTTGCTAATTGGCAAGGATGTGAAGTCATAGTAGAAGTTACAAGGAGTCCACTAGTCGCATCACATAGAGAATCTCTCATCACTGCTTAGACTCATTCTCATTACACATTCCCATTTGGTTATCAAAACTTTATAAGCACAAAAACTATTTTGTGCGTGTGTGTGTGTATGTGTGTGTACTAAAAGGGAAAAATATAAAATTTTTAACTCATATAATTTGTCAGTAAAGGACTTCATTGAATAAAGACTTGCAATTTATTGACATGGCTTAGGTTGAGATTTTATCACTTCAACTTATTTTCTACGAGGAGTCATGATGCTTCATAATATGTTCATCATGAGCTGCCTTTTAAGTAAATGGTTTTGGACAATGGTTTCTTTTAGTTCTCTTCTCTAGATCATTATAGGATTTTTAATATTTATGTGTGACCAGGTCATGAGCAGAGTGCACTTTTTCTTTAAACATGTAAGATTTATAATCATACGATATTTTTTGCTTTCAAGGTACATGAATCACTTGTTTTTAAGGAGCTTATAATAAACGATACATGATGCCGAATTTATATGTTACTAAAATGAGAAATAAAGCGGAAGCTTTTTTGTAGGCAAGTAATTGATATTTTCATTCGGAGAAGAAAAGGGGTAAAATTCTCCTAGGCACGTGCAATTGTTTCACAAATTGAACCAATTGAAAACAAAATCTAATGTCAAGAAAATCAAACTTAACAATCTTTTTTTTTGCTAAAATTGATTGCAAGTGAACTGAAATGTAATTTGGTAATTGTTTCGGTTTTGAACAGAGCAGTAGTTAGTTTAGGGTCTAAATTATAAAATAAACCAAAGTAGATTCTTCTGTAGGCCTTGTGGATTACTATGCTCTGGCTGGATAAGCATTTACTAAGTTTCTTTCTAAATTATCATCTGTCCTGAATTATGCATTAATCTCGAGAAACCAAATAATAAATTGAGGCGGCACATAAGAAATTCTAATCACATGTGTATCCTTCCAACTGTATAAAGATCAAACTGAGAATTCTATACCAAACTTTCAACTCTTAGAAATGTCAGTTTCTGATTAGAAAAGCTAAAAGAAGGAAAGTTCAAGGTTATGTTGAGCTAGTTGTTGAGCTTATCAACCATAAGGTTCATCTCAGTATGACATTTCTATGGAACAACTAATTTACTAGTATTTAGAGATTGACATTGAGAATTTGGTACAACATTCAACCCACACAAATGTCAAGATCTAAAAAGAAATGAAGAAATAGAAAGGGAAATTCACATGAGAAGTTAACCGTTATTTTGAATTACGTCATCCCACAAAATTTCAAGCTTTGATGAGGAAATACTAGGGGAAGAGAATTCAAAGCTAAGCATGTTGGGATAGTGTCGAGCTTCTCAACCAAACTGTTGCCCATAAAATTAATGTTCAGATCTCAAAAGTTTCTAATTAAGTTCACAGAATAAGTTGATAAATCAAAAAAACCTTGGTTTTCTTTGGAAATGGAGAAGGACAAGATAAGCAATGGGTTAACAAAATCTTCCAAGAGGATTGAGATCATGAAGATATAAATCTTAGGGCTAGGCTGAGTGTGTCTGTAGTGTGCATCTGCATAAGAGAAATTGAAATTTTGAATTGCTGAGGTCAAGCACGTCTAAAATATTAGTTTTGCTAGTCACGACCTTCCAATATCCCTTCCCCATTTTTTCCCTTTGACAAAGCCTGTCGCCACTTAGATTTCGCCCATACACGAAAGTGGCAACCTCGAGTCCAGAATGGGATCTAAATTGAGCATGCCAAGAGCAATAAGTTTAATGCAGCGATCCTAAATTCTATTTGATGATGAACTGGTCCCCATTTCTATTTTTTGGTTAATTCATTTTGAGGAGCAAAATCAAAGTTAACAAATTGAAAATTGAATATAACTAAAAATTTGAATGTTTTTTTTGTTTTTAATTGAATCAAATCAACCAAATGAGTTTGATTTCATTGATGTTTTGGTTTTTATCAAATAATGCACAAGCCTAAATGTGCATATAATTTATATGTATATGTGTACACATGCACGCATATATATATATATATATATATATATATATATATATATATATAATCACGCACTCGTACACACACACATATATGCTGACTATTTCCAACTCAACTTGAGCTTGAATCTTGTCAAAATTGAAACCTTTGATTCTTTAGTTGACTTGCCTGAATTTGACCCTATTACCTCTATCCATGGAAGTTGGAAAGGAACACAAGCTATCTCACCTTAGCTTGCTGTGGTAGCATAGTTATAAATTGGTTTATATCAAGGTTATCAGACAATGAAAATTATTTTGAGGACTTTATTGATAAATTAAGCTAATATTTTTTATATATTATTCATAGCTTGCTATTTATAAATTATTTAGTTTGCTCATTCGTATTTATGATAATTTACAAATCCATATGTCAGAACAGTATATCTGACACGTGAGTAATTTAGTCTAACCATTATTACCGGAGCTACTTTATCCATATACCCGACAACAAATTTTTAATTTTGAGCAAAAGCTTTCATGTTGAAAAAAATTTGATGAGAAAACTTTTTATTTTTTTATGATTAATAATTTTGTGGTATGAAAGACATTTGCATTTCAAAATTTTTCATTGCTAATTTCTTCTAGAAATCATAATTTGATTGTTTTTCAATTCGACTATGATTTAGAATCTAGAAAATCGATAAAAAAAATATGGAAATGGAAATTAAATTGATTAAATATGAAGCTAGCTGAATTAAATAGATTGTACCTTCAATTTCAAGAAAGTTAAAAATAGTGGTTTGGACTAGTTTAGTTTGATTTAAAATCATTTTTTAAAATTTTCTTAAAATTTTTTCGGGTTATTTGGTTTTTTGAAAAAGGAATGCATTGTAAACGTAATGTATTGTATTTGGAATACTTTTGATTTGTTTAGTATAATGTAAAATAAATGTATGACTTTATATTTTCTTTTTTGGTTTGAACAAAAACTAAAATCAATATATGATCTCTCATTAACGGCGGCAGTCGATGTTGGCAAGTTGCCGGTCGTGGGCGACTGACATGAATACTTTATTCAAAGCATTGTATTTGAAATTCACAAACACTAGGATTTTCAAAAGTCCTGCAAAAGGGATGAAGTGCATTCATTTTATTGCTGACCCAATAAACCCCTTAATTTTACATGAATTAAAGTTCAAATGAGTTTTTATTATGTATATTTAGCTATTTTTATGTCAAAAAAGTGAAATAATATTATATTTTAATCTTGTAATCATGAGGCTTTAATTATTCTTTAGATTAAATAGGTGAGTAATGAAAAAATGTTTTCCTGTCCATCCAAATGTTTTTGTTTATATTGTTTTAGGAAAGAAAATGAGGTCTGAAGATCATCCTACTATTGATTTTCAATTATGCTATCCTTCACTTGTGGAAGTAACAAGATAACAAATGAAGTGGTGTTTTGATTTTCAATTAAGAAGAGGTGCATGGGTTTGCTAGATAAAATACCTAAATTTTTTAAGAAGCTTTTGATGTAAACAATAAAAGGGCTCTAATAAATAAGATCTAGTTCAGGGAAAACTCCATCATTTCAACCCGAACAGTTCGTTTTATGAGGCTTTGTGATTTCCATCAACTGTTTATCTCAAGTGCTCTCTTCATTTTTTCCCCTTTTCTACTGTGTTTTAGTTTACTTTTTGCCACGTTAGCTTCAACTCATTTTTTCAATTATTCTACCCTTCACTTGTGGAAGTAACATGATAACTAATGTTTTAGTTTAAAGTTTGAACCTAATCAATCATTATTATTATTATTATTATTTGTAACACATAATTGAAAACCAAATTAATTCCGTTTAGTTTCACATTTGATCCTTTTAATTTTAATTTCTATATTTTTATGATTAGTTTGGTTTGATTCTAAACTTTGTTCTGTTTTGAAGCAAATCAAACCTTGCTCATCCTAAACAAATTTAAAGACAAAATATCAGTTATATTTATAGAGGTTAGGGATAAGTGTTTTTTTTTGAAAAAAAATTATTATTCATAGAAAAATATGGTGATTTTGCTACAAACACTTTTTCATCATATATTTTTATCACTATCAGACAATTTTTTTTTATTACTGATGATTCTCCTAAATGAAACATCTCTCAAATAGTGCCTTTGATACATGGATTTACTTTGTAATTTTTTATTAATATGCATTGAAAAATTGAGTAATTTTAAAACAATAGGCTTTGAATAACTTATGCAACTGTATGATTCGCTTATCAACAGCTTTGAGCATTTTTCATTGTCTAATGACCACAAGCTTGACGAAATTTAAACTATGCTACTGCATCACGTTAAGCTAACACTTCTTTGTATTCCTTTTCAACTTCCATAATAGTTGAACGCATCATGCTTGTTGGCAAAAATAATAATAGGTCATATTTGTTTTCTCTTTCTCTCATGCAATGAATTACACAAATTTCTTATCTCTTTCATGTTATAACAACTTGTTTATTTTATTTTAAGCTCGTCAATTTTAAAAGGTTTTTCTGCATTGAATGCCATAATGATCAAATTGTTGTAAATTCCATGTCTAAAGAAGAACACACTCAGCTCATTATGATAAAACTCATAAGTATCACATTATTTTCTTGCTTCAAGGAGAAATCTAAAAAAAAATTCTACTTGAATTGTTCCACTTCATATACCTCTCACGATGAACACATTGAAAAACCAGTAACCCACTTATAAATGTATAGTAGAAAAACAGTTGAAAGTTTTTTTATCAATGATCTTTGTTTACAAATTATATATATAAGTATATTAAATTATTAATTTAATAGATACAGTGGCGCTGCTATATCACTCTGATATTTTCTTGTATGATTGCAAGTGATTTTCAACGAGATGCTATCTGTACCCACTTATAATTGTATAATAGAAAAACAGTTGGAGTTTATTTGTCATCTTTGTTTACTAATTATATATATATATATATATATATATATATGTACACTAAATTATTATTTACAGCATTCTTATATTTTATTGTATGATTGCAAGAGATTTTCAATGAGATGTTATCAGCGGTCCCTCATGGCTTCTATTGTGACCTTGACACTCTTTTCCTTAGCATCATCCTTGTTGATATTGTGAAATTCCTTCTAATCAATCATGATTTTAAATGCAAAAAAAAAAAAAAAAGCATCTCAAAATGCTCAAATTTGGGAGTTGGAAACATAGAAAAATCAAAGGATGAAAGCTTTGATTCTAACAAATTTATAATCAAAACAATTGCCTTGTTACAATGATTCCACAATACCAAGAACATCGAAATCGATGCATGTTTAGGCCCTTGATTGGCTTGTGGCTCATTCAAGTCATCAACCAATCCTCTTCTCTTTTCTTTGGTGCTTCATGTGTGACCCAGAGAAAGTCACTCACCTAACTGACTAATGAGCTGGTGAATAGGTCCCCTAACACCCTATCGCTGTTGAAAATTACAACTCAACATTGGATTGTGATGTCACTTGCAGGATTTCATATTGTTTGCTCCCTTATGTTTTTGTTTCTATAAGTTTTTGTGACCTCTATAGGTGATAAATTCATGGTTTGGCTACAAGTTTATACTGCCAAGGGGAATATTTTGCTAGAAAAATGGCAAATTATCATCGTTGTTTCTGTTTGTCCCATTTTTTATCTCAATAATTTTTGGAGTTACTGTGACTTTTAGAACTCTCTTTCACGATCTGTTTGTGATATTGGGCTGCCCTTGGAGAGGCGAATATTTTGATTCCTAGATCACCGCAAACGCCAATAGTTTGATGTTGGATTTATGATTTTTTTTTCATTGCTCCTATTTCAAGCAACTTTAGTGCTTTACCTTGCGTAGCTAAATAGAGTGATCCCAAACAGTTATTTGGGGCCTTGTTTGGGATCAATTTTATTTTTTATTTTTTTATTTTTTTTTTAAATTATTTATTTAGTATGTTTTTTACCATTTTATTATTTTTCTTATAAAACAAAATAGCATGTATTTGAAAACGCTCAAAATAACTTTTTAAACTTTTTATTATTTTTAAAAACAATCATACTTTAATCAAATAACCAAATATGTTTATTTCAAATCAAAACATTTAAAAAAAAACGAAAACAAAAGTGATCCCAAATGGCCCCTTAGAAACTTTGTTTATTGCAAATGACTAGTGCTTCTACTAAACAAGCGTTGAATGAAATTGTGTATATGATACTTTTTATGACACAAACCTATGCCCTGCTTTAATATGACTTCGCTCTTAGCATCTTACAAATATTTTGCATGCACCATATGTAGATGAATGATTTTTATTCATTTCTGATGATAGGCGGACTTTCAACTACAATGCATACTTCTGCTACATCTCACGTTTATGGATATGATTATGCTGTTATTTTCTTCTATGTGAATTCCATTCCACTGTTTTCTACTAATTTATATGCTGTAGTTATATGCCATGTAAGTTGCCAGACATTTTCTTTTCAATTGTGGTTGCAAATTCCTTATAGTTATCATCGTAATTGCATGGTTGCAGTTTATGTATTCCAAAGGGAAATTTACATAAATACCACAATTCAGTTGTATTTACATATCTAACACCTAAAATTTGATATTTACATTATAACACTTTGGTGTCATAAACTTATGCATGAAAAGGTGTACTCCACTTATAAAAAGTTAGTAATAGTGGTATTTTTTGTGTGATATTAAAGATTAGAGTATTATGTATGGAAATGTGAAAGTTTAGATATGTAAATACATAAGAATTATGTGGTTATGTATGGAGGTGTCCCTATTCCATAAACTGTAGCCAGATTCAATTCCAGGGCTATCGACAGAAAGGTTGAGTGATTGGAATGCCTCAACTGCAGCTCCGCAGTTATGTTAAATATAGAGGACTTGCATCCTTTCATTTAATATTCTTCTGATTTGCAGTTTATGTACTTCTACGGACTTCAAAGAAAGAAGAAAATCAGAATGATCAGAAGAATGGGGAAGTTGCATCTGCTCCAGCTGCAACTGCAAATGTTACAGTTTCTGAGCAGACAAAACCTGAAAGTGCTGTACCCATAAAGGTCCTCCCTCCCATTCCTGAGCAGGAGCAACGGGAGCTCTTCAAGTGGGTATTGGAAGAGAAGAGGAAACTAAAGCCTCAAAATGCATCAGAAAAAAAGAAAATAGACGAAGAAAAAGCTCTTCTCAAGGAGTACATCCGAGCTAAATCCATCCCAGGCTTGTGAGTTTGAACAAGTTTTTCCATTAGATTTATGTGTTATTGTATTTTTTTGCTTGGAATTTTGAGTCATCTGGTCTTAATGTACACTCATGTAATGCATTTGTTAACGAGTCTTTTTTCTCATCTGGAAAACATTGTTTGCTTTTAATCATGGTGTATGGTTTTAACATTTACTGCTAGTTTCATTTTGGTCATTGTTATAGTCTTTCTTCTCGATATCCTTATACTACGCTTTCTACACTTATTATTAAAACTATATATATATATATATATATATATATATAGATAGATAGATTATTGTTTTTAATAGAGCACGTATATATATATATATATATATGCGCATGCCTTGGCCTGTGTGTTGGCGGGGTTCTCTGTAAGTCGTCCCCTCAGGTTAAAGGTTCAAATCCTAGTGGCATGGCGGTCCTCGAATATTAGCACATAGCGCGGGCTCTCAACATTTGGCCTAGCACATAAGGAATCAGTATTTGAGTTTCTATCAAATACCAATGGTCTCTGTCAAATACCAATTATATATATATATATATATATATTCGCCCGTATTGAATGGTGCCCAAATTGTATTTAAATCGAACGCAATGACAGTCTAAGAGTAAGCTTTCCTGGCAAATGCAAAGCATGTTGCCTTTGACTACCTTTTGGTTCAAAGCTACACCTGTACTGATGGCTGTTTGGTGTTGCATGCCAAAGAAGAAACCACTATGAACAAACCGAGTTCAAGCGCTTATAATGAACACTGATTATCATTTGAACTTATGGCATCGGTTTTCATTAAGATTTTGTTGTGTGAATATTTGGTGTGGGGCACATTTCACATAATTTTTCTTGTTAATATACATATCTAACATCAAATTTTTAAAATTTTTATGTTAACGCTGTAATATACGAATTATATCCAAACCTGTGCATCAAAAGATAATTTTTACTTGAGAGAAGTTAATATTTATGTTTTTATATATACATATACGTGTGTACAAATGTACATACATATACATACGTACATTATATATATATATA